CACGTCGAGGAGACATCACTAATCAACGGGTGGCAAATAATTAAGTTAACCAAACCTATAATTAAGATTTAGGGACAAATAGAGAGACAGGTGTGGTAAACTTTCCTGTAAATAAATAGTTTGCAGAACAGCCCTAACCCGGGGCTAGGTCACGTACGTTATTTTGAAGTTGTTATTGACCAAGTATGAGTTTAATATAAGGAATATTGCCCAACTAATTTTGTGGACCGAGGCTTCGTCTCGAGCAAAAAAAAGAACTAGGCTATGTACATCGAGAGGTCAATGAGAGTTTTTGTTATATTTCTTACTACTTGAAAAGGTTATCTACGTCGAGCGTTTCGGGCAAAAAAAAAAGCAAGCGCTCTACACAAAAAATAGAAAAAAGTCAAACTGCACGGTTCAATTACTGGTATTTATATGCATGGACCATGCGCGGATAAGGGAATTAAAAACGGTAATTATGTTACATATAGGTTGGTCTTTTATGAGACGTCTAACCACCTATGGCTTGAAACTTGAGAAATGCACAAAGAAAATGACGCAAATAGTCTGGAAGAGTGGTTCGTCTTCCATATCTCTCTTCAGAAATGAGTTAGAATGAGAGGATGACGGGAAGGAGCGAAACTGAGGAGGACTATATTCCCTTCTTCCCACCATCCTACGAGTCTCGCAAGCGATGTCTTGAGAACGAGTGACGTCGTGTTTACATTGGGCTAGCTTGAAAAGGATCGGGAAAGGTCGATACTGACAATACTCAATAACCCATAGCCAATAGAAATTAATAAGCTTGGTAAGAACTGCAATTCTTTGCTCGAATTAGTTGCGTACGAACGAGGGAAATTGAGGCTTATCAAAACGGAGATCAAAATAGACGCGCTCCGACAAATTCGGCAATCGCACTCCAAGAAATTTCATTGAGATGCTATAGTCCAAAGGAATTGAAGCAAATTCCATGAAGAAAAAGAAAGAAGAGGAGATTAAGCCAACCAAACAGCTGCCCGAAAATATAAACACTATATTTTTGAAACAGTTTAAAAACAACAGCATGTACAGAACTAAAATTCGCCTAAAATTGTGAGGAACTTGAATTGAGCCATTTTAAGTCTTTTCTGGCCTCTCAATACAAAAAAGAGGCCCTATGATATATATCATTGCGTATTCAGTTATTATTATATTTTCGTTATGCCTGCTGACATCAAGAGCTCTGCAAATTTGTAGTAGCTGCATGGAGTGTTAGCGAACCTTTGTGAATCACCACGATGCAGGTAATAATTGCATGCAATGTAATCAGTTATGCCTGAACGAAACAGGATGTCGGCACTTTGTTTCAATGTACTGTAATCGGCTCAAATTGAAACAGAACGCCTGCTCTACCAGGAAGCGACTCCTGCTCGATCGAACTGGTGTCATCACGATGATAATATCTTATCAAGTTGAAAACTGATCAGGCAATTTCTTAATTACTCGCGAGTTCGTAATTAAAGAAGTGTTTCCTTCGTTCAGTACTGAGTCACATCCTATCTCTCCATTCTTCCTCTTGCTTGTGTGAGTTCTTAAATTGGTAACACTTCGATCGCCACTTTTAAAGATTCATTGTTAACTGTGTATCTAATATTTTTGGGAATATTATGAACGTGCGCTGCAATAACTAAGAAAGGAAATATCAATGTAAGCACAATCACATCGGTGTAATATCTAATTGAGGTGAAGAACTGACTACAAGATTACTTATTTCAGAATTATTATCACCGATCGTTGGAATTGGTGTTTACAAGATTGAAACCAGTGTGATGATTTTTAAAATGTTTCTTGCAATTTAACTTACCAGTAAATGCGAACAGTTGTTGATAGATTCCGTCTTCTCCAAAGCCTTGTTACAATATAGTGTATACCATTTTGCCGGCTTGCCGCAAAAAAATATAAATAATTATGCGTGAAACCATTGTTATTTATATTATGCTGATCCAATAAGCTGATCAGATCTGTGCAATTGAAAGTTATTTTTTATCATGTTTAATAATATCTAAATCGTAATTAAAAAAAGAAAAACTGCTAGTTAGAGTAGGTTTTGCAAACTAAGCCATTAAGAAACAAA